AGAGGTTGTAGCTTCACCCGACTCTCTTCGTCAGATCTTCTCACTAAAAATCAAATCATGAACGTCGTCAAACTTCAACTTGTTGCTTCCCGATGAGCTACTCATAGCCGTGACTATAGTGTTCCAGCTTTCTGGTAGGGAAGACAAAAGTATCAATGCCCAAACTTCCTCATCAAACTCAATTTCAACTGAACTCAATTGGATTGTGACCGTGTTGAGTTCATTGAGGTGTTGTGCTACTGACACAACTTCCGCCATTCTCAGATTGAATAACCGCCACATCAAATGAATTTTGTTCACAGCTGATGGCTTCTCATACATATTTGAGAGTGTTGCCATAAGACCCTCCGTGATCTTCTCCTTTGCTATGTTGAACGCAACATTACGGATCAACGTCAATCTGATAACACTGAGGACTTGTCTGTCTAGAAGGTTTCACTCATCCTCCTTCATAGACTCCGACTTCTTTCCCAAAAGTGGTTGATACAGAATTTTTTGATACAGATAATCATCTATATGTATTTTTCAGAATTCAAAATCTGTTCCATCAAACTTCTCAAGTCTCATTTTTCCTTCATCTGCGGCCATGACTTCCAGTTGAATCTGACTTTCTCTAGATTGTTTCACGCTTTGATACCAGTTGTTAGGAAATACCCGGTGCTACGCTAAACTCCTAAAACAGCATAAACGCAGTATAGAGAAAATACACCAAGATTTAACGAGGTTCGATAACTGACTACGTTCTCGGAAACCACACAATTAATTTCTTATTAATTAACAAGAAATTACACTACAAGAGTAGATATCAAACTTGAGATCTCTCACTAAATACAAGTTTGTTAGTATAGCTACAGTAACAACCCTCTTTAATTCTCTTCTTAACCCTCTTTAATTTTCTTCTTAATTCTCCCCTCAATCTCAGAGCTCTGGAGAAAAAAGAAAAAGGGAACAACGAAAAAAAATTTGCCGCCGCTGAAAAGAAATGAGAAGAAGGAGATGAAGCCCACACTACGAGATCTCAGATCTGGGTTTCCCTTTTATAAGGAAACCCTAGCGCTGAGCTGTCGACAGGCTGTCGACAGCCTGGGAGAAGCTGTATGCTCACGCTTTGACGGAGCTCGCCAGCGCTTACCTCGAACTCACCTGTCTTGGATCGACCCCGCCCTTCATCCCGCTCACTCGCCTACACCCCCTCAAGCTTGCCTGTAAGGTCTTGAGCCTGCCTGCAGCGCTTGAGCTTCCGAGCTCGAACCTCTCTTGCCTTCTGCGCACCTACCTGCTCACGAGCTCGCCTGTAGAGATCTCGCAGCTCCGCCGGCTGCGAGTCGCTCCTCACCTGAGCTTCGTCCTCGCCTGGAGAAGCTCGCCTGCAGGTGAGTTTGGGCTACACACCTAGATCCAACAATAGCTATGGCTATAGGATTTGTATAAGTTCTTAATTGCCTGTGCAGGTTTACTTGTAGCATGCTGTGTTTTTTTATGTGTGTGTGTGTGTGTAGAGAGAGAGAGAGAGAGAGAGAGAGAGAGAGAGAGAAATGGGTATACTTGGTACGAAACATAAATTTTGTACTTGTTAGTGAGGTGTCTCATTCTCATCCACTCATTTAAATGATGGCATATCCCTATGCACTCCCCAACTCATGTGAATGTGGTCCCCCATTTGAATGAGTGGAGGAGAATATGACACATCACTACCAAACACAAAATTTGTGTTTGGTACCAAACATACTCATATTTCTTATATATATATATATATATATATATATATATATAAAGAGAGAGAGATATGATACCCATTAATCTCTCTCTCTCTCTCTCTCTCTCTCTCTCTATATATATATATATATATATATATATATATATAGAGAGAGAGAGAGAGAGATTAATGGGTATCATATGTCATATGAGAGGATTCTCTCATATACAATGATGTGGCACAATCTCCACCAAGTGTATTTATGAGGCATTCTCTCTCCTACTTTATTCACTTGGTGAAGATTGTGCCACATCATTGTATACGAGGGAATCCTCTCATATGACATATATATGATACCCATTAATCTCATATATATATATATATATAAAGTTAGAAAGCCTGCCAAGCTCTTTCTCGTGGTCACATCCCCAGCTCTCATGGCCGATTCCTTCTTCATGGATCCCTTCAAGCGCCTCTTCTTCACTCAATGGGCCGGGCGCACATCCTCAGCTCCCATGGACTGGATGGAGACCCCATCCTCCCACATCATTCACATCAATGTCCCAGGGTTGAGAGTAAAGGACGATCAGACAAAAAATCCAATCGGAAGAAGGAAATGTGCTACATAAATGTGACGCCCCGGGGGATGCTGTGAGGGCTGTGGACGGGTACATCAAGTCACAAACGTCGTAACTGATGAACGACAAGCGGAGTACGCTGACGGACAACCAGATTCGCAAGATTAATGCCATGCGCCTGGGTACTGCCAGGGCCATCTTGACAACGTTCTACAGGCTGACCGAGGGGGACTTGGTGCCGGGTGAGAGGGAAATAGCGCTGTGTTTCTTGAGGAGTAAGGCTACAACTTTTGCGTGTGAGAGATCAGCACGAAATTTGAAGCAATTGTTCATCTTCTTCCAAACACATCCTCTTTTAATTCGAACTTTTGATAAATTAAACCTGAAATTTGTGGATAGAACTTTAGATCTAATATCTGAGTAATGAAAAGATGAAATCTTGATCAGTAGAACTACAAATTTTTGCTAATTTATGGATATATTTGGACTAGAACCCTAATTAATCAACTACTTGATATTATTGATGACTGGGAAAATTAAACCCCTAGAATTATGAATTTATGTGACGGAATCGCCATGTGTACTTATGAAGATAAATTACAATTGCTCTCTGATTAGAATTTTAATTA